AGTGCTTTGCAAATATTAATTCATTTAATACTTATACTAATCCTATAATGTTCCTATTATCATTTATTTTCTTTCAGAGATGAGGAAACTGAGGCACAAAATGTTTAAAGAATTGCTCAGGGTAGAACTAGACTAGTCAGAATCTGCTCATATGGTACAGTCTGCTTAGCATTCCCAAAGTCTGAGAACATGACCCTCACTTGTGTTTTCTAGGTCTCCTCTCCATCCCTCTTCTCTTTTCTTTTCATAGATTTTTATCCCTTTACTCTGTTCTTGTTCAAATAACACCCACCAAGACAGTCTTTTTGGCTGACTGGCTCTCTCCCAGTCCTTCTTCTCCAATTGACAGAGGAATAATCTCTATCTGGCTGAGATGTCAAGTGCTGAAAATATATCGGCATTCCTTAAAGAAGCAATTTGTTCTCTTTTCTCAAGTGTGTCACGTGCAGTTAAATGGCACTGACTTGTGGCCCCACTGGCCAAATTTCACAGAGATAGCCTGTCAGAGGCTAGAGAATCTTTTGAGGAATGGGTGTCTTCTCTATGGAAATATCCCAATTACTATTTCTCGTGGGAAATGCAACATCACCCCAGAGATCTGTGGCCATCAGGAAAAGTAACCAAGCTGAAGGGACATCCATCTCCATTCCCACTAGGGACACCATCATCTTCTCTAACTTGTTCATCTTGAGCAATAGAAAGCTCTAACTAAATAAACGAGAAAGGATGGCAGAAAATAATCCACAGTGACTTATGCATCTTTCTCCATCCATAAATAACTTTATATTTCACTTCTGGCAGCAGAGCTGAGCCAGAAGGTAATGAGCCATTGTGGAAAACCCATCTGTTGCTTATAAGAGGAAAGGCCAGATTTATTGAGGAAGAATCTGGAGTGTAAGTCCTGTTATTGTTAATGGGAGTTGCACATCTAATTGGTCATGCTGAAAATATGCCCTATTATATTCTTTCACTGGCCAGCCAGATGGATGTGCTGAGCTGCAATACTGAGAAGAAAAATGTACCTAAAGAATTTAAGAGTAGGAGTGGGCACCACAGCCAGTAGTGAACTGACAGTTCTAATGAGGATAGATTGTACTTGTCCATGGGCCTGATTTAAAGATGATTTCAAAAGAACCCAAAAGGCCCAATACAGGTCTTTCTAAATGGAGTCACATAGTCCACATAGTCCAGTCCCCTGGAGTGGTCCCACCAGTCCCATAATTAGAAACACTTCTGCCTCTCATTCTTTTGTAACTTGCCCATTGATACTTAATAATTGCTTTGAGACTTTCTTAGAATGGTGCCGGATAATGGCAATTGAAAGCCATTCCTCGCAACTTCCTCTTTACTACTGTGGTAGGAAGAAAGACTGAGAAATCAAAGGCAAGCCATGCCTCATACACTGAATTTTCCCCAACTGTGTTAGAATTAGATCTGGGGCTAGAAGGCCCCTGAAAGAAGTGGGAACTATGTCTTAACACAATTAGTGGTACACTGTAGATGCTTCATAAATGTTGAAAGAGGGAGAATATAATAAATTAACAATCATTAGTAGAATCAATTAATAGAATCTTAGGACATTGTGGCTGGAAGCAATCTTAGAGATTTTATTAGTCAGAATATGTTAACGCTATAGCAAAAATTAACTAATTCTAAGTAACTTAAAAAGGGTTAGTACTCTCATATTAGGGTTGACTTAGATGTGCATGTGAGGGGGGCCATATGGGGGGAATGTGGGGGACATAATGCTCCACACAGTCATTCTCCATTTCATGACACTGCCAACTTCTCTGTGCATTCTCCAAGGTCATCACAGAAGGGAAGGAGGGCAAGGAGGACCTGGCAAGGTGTCTTATGATGCAGTCTTGGAGTGAGGTGTGTCACTTCCAGCCCATTCCTCGAACCAAAACTCAGTCATCTGGTTCCAAATAAGAGAGCCTAGGCTGGAAAATGTAGTCTTCCCACATGACCAGAAAAAAATATATGTATATATTTGGGTTTGGTGAACACATAGAATTGCCACTGTCACTGAGACCCTTTAATCAGATCCTTCATTTTACAGATGGTCAAACTGAAGTTCTAAGGCAGCAGGATTTTCAGCAAGTCACATGGCTGTTTGTTGAGTCAGAACAAGCACTCTCATTTTCTATTTCCTGACACCATTGTGTGTTGAAGAGTGAGAGAGAGGCAGAGTGGGAGAGGGAGGGAGGGAGTAAGGGGGAGAAAGAAGGGAAGAGGAGGGGAGAGGATGGAAGATGGGCACTGAAACACCCTATAAAGAGCCCTGAAGAGAAGTAAGACATCTAAACTCATGTTTCTGACTCTCTCATAGACTTGGCTAGTCACTTACTTACACTCCTCATTTTCCCCTTCTATAAAGTGAGAAGTCCCAGTGATTATTGAAATCCTTTTAATCCTCTAATAATATTGAATTCTATTGAGAGACATTAGGAAGCAGAAATCAAAACATAGTCATGTGTCACTTAATGATGGGAGTACATCCAGAGAAGTATGTCATTAGGTGATATTATCATTGCGTGAACATTATAGAGTGTACTTCTGCAAACCTAGATTTATATAGGCTATTATATAGCCTATTTATAGGCTATTTATAGGCTATTATATAGCCTACCTAGGCTGTATGGTACTATAGCCTATTGCTCCTAGTCCACAACTCTGTATAACATGTGACTGTACTGAACTCTGTAGGCAATTATAACACCGCGGTAAGTATTTGTATACATAAGCATAGAAAATGTGCAGCAAAAATACAGGATAAAAGATAAAAATGGTATACCTGTATAGTGCACCTACCATGAATGGAGTTTGCAGGACTGAAAGTTGCTCTGGGTGAGTCAGTGAGTGAGTAGGGAGTGAATGTGAAAGCCTAGAACATTACTGTACACTACTGTAGACTTTATAAACACTGTACATTAGGCTAGACAAAACTTAAAAAAAAATGTCTTTCTTGAGTAATAAATTAATGTTAGAGCTTACCATAACTTTTTTACTTTATAAACTTTTTAGTTTTCTTACCTTTTGAACTCTTTTGTAATAACACTTAGCTCAAAACACAAACATTGTACACCCATACAAAAAGATTTTTATACTCTTATTCTATAGGTTTTCCTCTATTTTGAAAATTTTTGTTTATTAATTTTTTGTTAAAAGCTAAGGCACAAACACACACTTTAGCCTAGGCTTACACAGGGTCAGGATCATCAATATCACTGTCTTCCACCTCCATGTCTTGTTCTATTGGAAGGTCTTCAGCGGTGATAACACACATTTTCATACGGAGCTGTCATTTCCTATGATAACAATCCCTTCTTCTGAAATACCTCCTCAAGAACCTGTCTAAGGCTGTTTTGCTGTTAACTTTTTAAAATATATAAATAATATATATTTTTATATATATAAAAATATATAAGTAGAAGTTATATATTTATATATAAATATATAACTTTTTAAAATATATAATATATATATAAGAGTATAAAATATATACTCTAAAATAACAGAGTATAGTACAGTAAATACATAAACAAGTAACATAGTATTTTATTATCATTTTTGTATGTGCTATACTTTTATATGACTGGCAGTGCAGTAGGTTTGTTTTCATCAACATCACCATGAACACGTGAGTAATGCACTGCACCATGACATTAAGAAGGCTACAACATCACTAGGTAATGGGAATTTTTTAGCTCCATGATATAATCTTATGGGATCCACCATGGTATATGTGGTCCATCATTGACCAAAATGTTTTTATGCAGTATGTAACTGTAGTAAGAAAGGCTATCAAATTCAAGGAGGCTGGTGTGAGATGAGGGGTGTGATACAGCAGAAGAAAGACAGGTAGATGCAGCCTCTGGGCATCACAGATGTGAGGATGGCACACAGGCCCCTTGCCTGCGGTGAATCAGAGGTCATGGGTATCTTCCTGGAGTCCATTTGACCCTCCCATACCCTCTTCCTCTCCCTCCCCATCCAATCCAACCTGTTGCCTTCTCATCAGAGACCCCTGGAACGAGCTCCCACTGCCCAGCTATCGCAAGGCTTAGGAGCAGCCTGACCAAAGGCAGGGCTCAGGGAGCCTGGCAGCATGTATCTTGGCAATTGCCCCTTCTCCTCCCTTCTTGGGAGCTCATCTCTCTCACCCACCTTCAAGTGTGCAAGCTGTAGCAGCAAAGGGATTAAGGTGGCCCTGTAGGAGCCTTCATTAACTGCTCCAAAGCCAGCCAAGTCGGAGAGACTGTCTCCATGCAGGGGTGATAAGAGGCCTCCACTACAAAGCAGCTGGCAGCCATCTCAAATCCCTTTTCAATTCTGCCCATTTGGCTTGTTCAAAGGGGAAAAGGATCAATTTCTGAAATCAGCCTTTCCCTTAAACACAACCAACTGGCAAGCCAAAGCACAAACAGAGGTAATCCTTCAAGGAGCAGCATTTTAGGCTCATCAAGTGTTTTCATCTCAGGATTCTGAAGTCCTTTTCAGTCATTAATGGCTTTCTCTAAGCCTCCTGTTCTCAGAACCAGGCAGACGCAAGGTGGAGGCTGTGCAAGAAAGGGTGTGGGGAAACAAGGCTCTAAAAGGCACCAGGAGAGCACAGTTACATTTCCATCTTCTACCAGGTTTCCATAAATATCATGAGCAGAAATAAAGTATTGCTTGAAATAATGGGTATCATACTGAGACAACATTTCTCAAACCCAGAGAAGGAGCAATTATGAGCTAGGAAATCCAGAATTATGGTTTTCATTCAGCTGGACTCCACTGATGATATTGTGGCTAGATCAATCCCTTAATATCTCTCACAGTCATACTGTTTTCACCTTTGACTGGGTTAACGTAGAAACATTTTCTAATCATTACGCGAGACCAGTTTGCAATATGACCTTAGACTGCAAACTCTCAAATGGGTTTATATTTGTGGAAGATATGAATTTGCAACTACAAAATCAAGTGTGATAGTAATAACCACCATTGCTTACTTTTTAAAGATCAGCCTAAATCAGACTCCAGCCTTCACCTCAGCAGGCTGATGGGAGATTTGATCTCAGCCTTATAGACACTACCCCCATCAGAATTCAGGAATTCTCAGGCACCCAGTCACTGGTCCTCACCGATTCACCGTGAGAGGTCCTTTGGCAGAGCTTGCTCAGTTCCTCCAGGACTGCAGACTGCTGCTTCTGTTCATGGGGATATGAGCTGGTGCTGGAATCCTCAGTTCCTCGGGTCCTCCACTTTCTGCCCACCAGGCAGCTTCCCTCTGAGGTCTCACTGTTTTCCCAGTGCCGTCTCAGCGGAGGAGGCAATGTGTCCTCCCTGTCCACAGGATAGATGCCTTCTAACCCTTTCCTGGAGGAAGGCAGGAAGAAATTGATTGAAAGAAATCCTTCTTCTTTCCTTTACTACTGGCAAAGACTCTCTCCTTTGACTGAACTTGAGCCAGGTTCCTTTGATCTCCCTTTTTGACTTATCCCAACTTTGGGCTCTGTTCTTTTCCTGTTTAGTCCAGTTTTAGCAAGAATTCTGCTGGGTCAGTTTAGCAAAACTGACTCTTGATATCTTCTTGATATCTTGTCAAATTCCTTATCCCCCACCTTCAATGTCTTGTCACCCTGACTACCTGCAGCAATGACACTGTCAAGCTGGTTTAGTCAGAATCCCCTATACTGCTGATGTTTCTATCATCTGACCTCTACTCTGCTCCTTGGCTGTAAATATCTGCTTGTCCTTGTGGCATTTGGAGTTGAACTTGACTCTCTCTAGCCTACTATAAAACACCACTGTCGTAGCCCCACTTGAATAAAGTCTTCCTCATCAACTTTAGCAAGGGTCATGAATAATTTTTTCCTTAACACTACCATCAAAGTCATTACACTGTTTCCTGTTCTTCACACTTTTTGCTCAGCAAAAAATAAAAATAAAAAAATAATGCAAAGTCCCTGGCCTATGGTTTGAAAAAGAGAAAATTGTAGAATGAACAGATAGCTTAAAAATTATTTTAATAAAGCATCATCCTAAACTCTGTCACTAAGTAAACCAACACAGACCAGCACCACCTCACATTACAGAGAAACAAAGCTCAGACAAAAAGAGAGCCAGAAGTAGACAATAGGATCTATGTGTTTGCAGCACCTTTTCCAGTCACTAGTGTTTGCTACAGACAAAGTTAATGGAATTATTAAAAACCGCTTGTGGCTTGAGTGATTCTGTGGGAACTTTCTGTAAGTCTGTATGAGCATTTCTTGGTTCTGTGTTAGTTAAAGGAGATGGGGTCAAATAGTTCACCCGGCTTATCCTTTATCTGAAACACTGTTCTTAGTCAACTTTCACAATGAGCCAGCACTTTCTCTTGAGGAAGCCCAGTACAGATAATAGTTTTTGGACCAAATCTGAACTTCCTCTGGTTGATCACAATTCCATCCTGTAGTCCAAAGTCACAGAGGTTGTTGGGAAGAAAATTAACCTCTGCAAGATTTCCATTATGTGCCAGATATTTTTAGAGCACTTTTTACATTTGCTTCATACAGATTCTGAAAGGTAGCAATTATTGTTTCCATCATGGAGATACAGAAAAACATTCAGGGAAGTTAAGTGACTTGCCAAAAGTCAGTTATAAGAAGGAACGGTAGTACTCTGCCTGATGCAATGTCCTTCCCTCCATACCATGCTCTCTGCTATCTTGCTCATAACCTGCAGAAATGTTATTTCACGTAAGACCACTGTCATGTTCCCACTAGCTTTTCCACGTTAATCAATTTTTCACTGTTACTCTGTTAATAATAATAGTAGCCAACATTTATGGAGGGCTTTATTATAGTCAAGATGTCTGGTCAGCCCTTTATAAAGATCAATTCATTTAAGTATTTCAAGAACCCCATGAGGCAAGTGCAATTGTATTCCCATATTATAGTCATAGGCTCCAACTATAGGGCATGTGGCATGTGTTGTTCACATGCCATGGTCCTGGAGTCGGACCACTTCAGATTCATAGCCAGTTCAACCAGCTATGTGAGCTTTGGCAAGTTGGTCTCTGTAAGTCTCAGTTTCTTATGTGTGAGGCTATAGGTATAATAATAGTAACCACCACATTGGATGCTGGAGATTTAAGCACACTCATCAGTGGAGAAGGTCTGGAATACTGTAAGTGCATAATAAATGTTAGTGACCATTACTGGACATCTCAAGGCCTCTCAGTATTATTATTGTCAATTTCTCATAAAACTACTCAATTTTGTTAATAACTGACTCAAAATAAGGCAGCAAATATTAAATATAATAATCAGGAGCAGTTTGACCAACATAAAAATGAGCAATTCAATTTCCTACTTGTCTTTTAGCTCCCTCTAATAAACCAGTCCAAGAGGTCTCCAGCTTTTCAGAACATTATATCATACTTTAGATACACACAGAGGATACAGTTAGCTGGCGTTCATTTGCAAAGAATTTAGGAAAACACAAAGATAATGAAACTTGGCCAGAGCTACTAGGCCTGTCCTCTTACCCAGTTTGTTAATAAACTAGGGTCTTGTTTGCACCTCTTTGACAAATGGTTGCCCACATTCTTCTGAGGCAGTCGATTTCCTGGAGGGATTGCTTTTTCAGTTCTCTGCACACTCTAAAATAGTTTACTGCTCCTGTTGAGACAGGCTCAACTCAGCATGTGTCTGCTTTCTGAGCAGGGAAGATGAAGATTCTGCAGTTTTACTACATTGTGGTAGAACTTACTAATAAGATAATTAAATTAATGTTATCTTTCTGTACCAACTTTTTTAAGAGGCACTCGCATGCTCCATACCACGAAGGAGCTTCCCCCTCATCATGGCCCCAAATTCCCAGCCCTAATAGAGATGAACCCAAACTATGATAATGCAAGCAAATAAACCTCACTGGTTGTACTTGGAGTTTAAGCTCAAGCTTTTACATTTCTAATATGGTGTCATACATAGAAACCATAAAACAGCATTAATTCTACCTTACAATAGGAATTGCTCAGCTACAAAACTAGGGCATCTGAGGACAAAGTCCTCTGAATGGCAATACACTCTCCTTCCTCCACCCTTGCCAAACTTGCAGAGGAAACATTAACTGTAATGCAGTACATTTCGGAAAGTTTTTTTTTTTCCTCTCTTTGTCTTTCATTTGTTGTTTTTTTTTTTTTTATTCATCTTTTTTTTTTTTTTCCTAGTAAAAGCTCTCCTCAATTGGAAGCAGAATGTCAGGATGTCAGATGATAATCATGGTCCTCTTAATTTTTCTAGTGAAATAAAAATTTAATAAATGGCGGTTATAAATCAAACAATCGAAGTCTGGTAACTCTGGACTAGACAGATGAATCTCCCTCATTGCGGTAACTGTAAGTGAAAGGAGTGAGACCCAAATGAACACACATTGTATGTTTCCATTAGTATAGAGCTCAAAGCAGGAAATTCAAACCTATAGCTTGACATCAAGGAAGGAGTTACCTTCGAAGAAGTAGTGCCTGGTAGAGGGCACAGGAGGAGTTTCCAGAGTGCTGGTCATATTCTGTTCCTTGATCTGGCTGTTGGTTACATAAGTGTATATAATTTGTGAAAAGTCATTGAGCTGCAATGATTTATGTACTTCTCTGTATGTTATACTTTAATAAAAAGTTTACTAAAAACAGACCAAAAACAGATTAAACATGTATTCACATGAAGACATAAGAACAGAAGAGTTCATTTAGCATTGTAGAAATTATCAGAAAAAACTAGTATATGGGACATTAGAATTTTAGTTAAAGAAAGTAGTGCTTAATAAAACCATCATATTTAGATGGAGAGCCAGAGAATAATGACATTTTTCTATTTCCCTTTCTCTATCTTTATTTATTTATTTATTTATTTTTGGAAAATGATAGCATTTGAACTAAGATGGAATTTATAAAATATACTATGAGAGAGCATATTGTCTTCACTTACTCACTAAAAAATCAAAAACATCCCTCTCCATTTTAAGGATAGTCAAGTCATGAAATCAATTCCATGCAGACTGAGATATTGTTGTCTGAGAAAAGGAAGCCAGTAGTCATCATATACTTAATTGTAACCTACCAAGGTTTTATTTGTAGGCCAACATAATGCTGTCCTAAAAGCTGATATCTTTATAAAATTATTTTTCTCCAAAGGAGTTTGGAATATTGGAGAAGTTACTAACTTCTCCTCCCCAGGTCCTGATGCAGGGGAGACTGAAAGACTCACTTAGTTGTTCTTTTTGGAAACTTTTCCCATATCTTGAGGTCTGGTGTAAGAGGCTTTCCTTTGAGCTTCCAGAGAGCCTATGCTAACTTTATCATTGGGTTTAGCATATTACACCTTGTCAGGTTACATGTTCATCATCCACTCTATCATGCAATCTCTTTGACCACAGGTGATATATATGCTGGGTTGCTCTGCTCCTGTGTCCTCAGTCTACCTCAGCAATCACCTGCAGCTTCACGGAGCAGGGACTGTACACACTCTGACAGCTTCCCAATTCAAGTGCCTAAATCTCTGTAATTGTCTACCTGCTGGAACTTGCCCAGTGCAGGACAGACTAAATGTCCTAGAGACTTAATATTTCATGACTAATGAGGGCTGCATATTGGTGGATAAATGTCCAGGTCTGTTTATCTACTGCTGTGTAACAAAGTACCCCAAACTTAGAGCCATGCAACAATGTCGATTTTACCAGAGAACTCACAAATTCTGTGAGTCAGGAATTTGGAAAGAATAAAGCAAGGACAGCTTGTATCTGCTCCATGATGTTTAGGACTCATTAGAGAAGATGCAAAGGCTTGGGGTGGCTGGATGACTGAAGGTGGGATGCATCAGAAGGCTTGTTCACTCACTTTTCTGGCAGTCAGATCTGGCATAGCTGGGTCCTCATCTGGGTCTAATGGCTAGGACATCTGCATGTATAATTCCCATGAAATTTGGGCTTCCTCACGACATGTGTTCTAGGAGTGAGCATCCAAAGAGAAACTAGGAGAAGCTGTATTGCCCTTTATCTCTCGGTCTCTGAAGTCACATAGCACCACTTCCACTAGTGTCTCAAGTTCACCCATATTTAAGGGGTGGGAATATAGACCCAAGTTCTTGAGTAGATGAGTCTCAAAGTCACATGGTAAGAAGAGTATTCAGGATAGAGGATATTGTTGTGGTCATGTTTGGAAAGAAAAATATGCCAGATTCAGCTCTTTTGTTCCTTAGAGGGACAATTCTGAAGTATTTTCTACATCCAGGGTCCCTCAACATTTTTGGCATCAGGGACCAGTTTCATGGAAGACAATTTTTCCAGGGACAAGGGGCGGGTAGAGTGGAGCTCAGGAAGTGATGTGTGGCCAGGTTCCTAACAGGCTGTGGACCAGTTCTGGGCAGTGGCCCTGGGGTTAGGAACTGCAGTTAGATGTGATTCTTCCAAGTGTCTCCAGTAGGACTGAGTACCAGCTGCCTACAGCCATAACCTATTCATAAATACACACTCACTGGCTTTTCTAACTTACTGTGTCACTTTCCCCAGCTTTCTACTTGTGCTTCCTGGAATCACTTTCCAAATACTGTCTGCACCCAAGTCCTTGCCTTTCAGAGTACCTCTGGGAAAACATAATTAAGGGGAGTTGAGTCTTTATACTCTATATAGCTGGAGTCTCACACAGTGGCTACGCCATAATTAGAACTTAATAAAAGCTGATTGGATATATGGATATTCTCATTTCCTGTATCGGAATAGTGATATAAGAAAAACTTGGCAGAGCAGCTATTTTTAGAGCTAAAAGTTGAAC